TCTAGAAAACAAATTGTATGTATATCCCAATAAGGAACCAGCAACACAGGGCCTCCAGGGGCCTCCAGGGGCCTCCAGGGGCCTCTAGGGGCCTCCAGGGGCCTCCAGGGGCCTCCAGGGGCCTCCAGACCCTCCAGGGGCCTCCAGGGGGCTCCAGGCGGGCTCCAGCCCTCCAAAAACCCCAAAAAACCTTCTCAAACCTGATGAACGAAAAATGCGCCCGCCGCGTACCGCCAAAGCCTCGAACTCTGGGCGAGGCCGAAATTTCACGCGGGATGGTCAGGCTGGATCTGAACGCTCTGAGGCTGGATGCCTCGGCGAATTGGCTACTACTTTGAGCCAATGTAGCAGGAAACTGGGGGAAAGTAGACTAAATATATGGGCTACTGGCTTTCCAGGAAGTTTCTTATGATGGCCAACTTGCATCTGCGGAAGCTACTTGGAGTTTGGATGCAATTTTAGCAGTTTGGGGTAAATTTGTTTTGTGCAAACCCTAAATTGCTGGCCCAGCTTTGCATCTTGGATTCAGTTTCATTTTCATTCTGACCTCTTGGAGGAACCATAGCTTTTGAAGCCTATTTCTTGATTAGATGCCAAATTGGGAACGTTCTAGAGCCTGCCAAGAATTTGCAAAAGGCGAGATGAATCAAAAAGCCAGAGTCTTGAGCACAATTTACAAGGCGGAAGCAAAACAAAAAAAGATTCCTAAGCCCGATCCATCCGAAATTTGCATGAAACTCCCAAACTGAAACTAACGTGTCTTCTCTGTTAGGAGGACCCCCCACCCTGTAATAGTGGTATAATAAGAATATAAGAGGATCCTAATATAATCCCTATTATCCCTTATAGCCACTATTACTGGGTGGAGGGGTCCACCTAACTTCTCTGTCAGACCTGGGGATGCTACTGACGCGAGTTTTTAGGGTTTAGGGTTTAGGGGTTTAGGGTTTAGGGTTTTAGGGTTTAGGGTTTAGGGTGGGATGGGGGCTTGGGGTTTGTAACTCACTTCAGGGTTGAGGGATAAGGGCTAAGTCCTTGTAGATTGGTAGTGCAGCCACTGATCAGTTCTCAAAGCCCGGCCCCCCTAACCTGACGAACAATCCTACCATGAACTACGAACAACATCATGCTTTCCAGTTCTCGTCACCAGAACCTGCTCACCAGGAAGGGATATGTATCAATGTATTTATATGTATTATGTATATTCACAGCCTGAGGTAGTGGTACCTACACCAAGACGCTCTTGTTTGCCTATTGTGCATTGATTTATCAATGATCTGCAGGCCAAAGGATTTGGTTGAAAGATCAGAATCCACACAACTTTGGAGGCCTCCGCAAGTAGTTCTTCCTGTTCCCATTGAAAGGAATACGATGCTCAAGGAGATTGCACACAGAGCTGGCGTTCGTGCTCTGTCTTCAGGAGCAGGGAAAACGGAGAGTGACAGTTTGAATGAACATGCGTAGTCGTCGCAATACAATCTTGCGGAAAGAAGAGTACTGGCTTTATGAGTGCTAACCAGCAGAAGCAGGGTGATGGATAATTGGAATGCAAGCTCGAGGTGCGTTGCATGTAAAGTCTTTGAAGTGCCAGGTATCCTCTGTGCCAGGTAACAAATTAATGATTAGCTACGTGCTTCAAGATTTCAAGATTACCAGACGGGTGGGGTTAATACATTGAAGCGTAACCTCCAATGACGTCCGCGTCATGGTGAAGATGTCATGTATTCAGTCCATACATGTCTTATTTTCAGGGACTGGTCAAAATCCAATTTTTGGAATGAACAGGAAGCCGCCTGGGCAAATGTAAGGAATGAGAATTCATGTACTGGTTGCTTCAAAAACATGAACCTGAGCTTGAAACAAACAGGGCTGACTTGGATGCCATCTCCGAAACCTGGAAACCTGAAACGCAACACCTCCTAAAAGTCAGATCTCTTCCAAACCCCCTTTACTCGTTGCCCTCCCCCAGAATAGCATCAGTCCAAAACTGATGAACAGGGCTTTCCAAAAATGGTTGAAGTATGGAAGCCGCATGATACTTTCACTTGGGGGGCTTGAAACTGTTCTTTAGCCATGAATGTATTCTCGGTTGGTCCTGGCCGCGTGACTCAGGAAAGAAAGGCGCATCCTGGAACAGATTGTCGCCCGAATGACAGCGTGCCACCAAAAGAGCGCATTCATTGGCAGGGTGCAGGCTTCAGAGCTGTCACGGGATTTAGCTGCAACATCAAACCCTAAACCTCTGCATATAGGGCTTAGAAGTCTGTTCTCGAGTGCAGTATTAAGGCCCTGGAAACTGAAACATTGAGCAACCAAAGCATGGAGGTTATGAGCTCTATATCAGCCATAGTCTAAACTCCTTAAAGGGGGTTCTATAGGGGATTATATAGGGGACTACTATAGGGGCTATTAAGGGGGATACTAGGAGTTTAGACGATGGCTCATGTGTATATATGTGGGGATTGGTCTAAATTCCCTATAATACGGGGTCCTATATTTGGGTTCCCATTATAATACGGGGCCCTATATAAATTTCCCCCACTTTGGGAACAGTAATTTAGGGAAACTACCATATATGTACATATATATATACTGGTGGTTATCGTGGAGTGCAAAATGCAGTATAGGTACCACACTAGCCATTATGCAAAACAGTTGTTGAGATCCATTCCGTACCAACCATCAGTAAATCTCTTTACTCAGGCATCGCAGCTATAGATCCTGGAAC